GGATGTTGAATAAAAGAATTGTGAAGGGACTGCTTTTACCTTGTCTTTGCAGCAAGGCAAACACTACAGCCCATAAAAGAAGATTTCACCATGACATTGCCCTTTTTAGAGTATTGACGTTAAGAGCTCCTTAAGTGCATTTATTCAGCAGGCATTTACCAACCACCTAACATATGCTACTTGTCAACAAAAATGTGTAATTTAGAAGGTACTAATAGAGACCTTTGCATTCTCAGTAATGAAGGAAACATCCGTATAATAGCACCATCTACTAAGAAAACAACAAAAAAACTGTGTTTTCATCTTGCAGTCTCAGGAAAGGGAAAGCAGCATTGAGGAGGGAAGGGCTGAGCAGAGATGGTGTCGGGTCACCCAGGTGGGGTGGCATGGGGAGAAACGTCTGGAGGGTGGAGGAGGAAGCAGGGGGATGCAGGAGGCATATTCTAAGGCTTTGACATTCCCATTGTATAGCAGAGACCAGTGCTCACATGCTTGTAGAAGAGGCTGGACCTCCAAAAGGAATGGCTGTGTGGAGCAGCCAGGAAAGCTGGACCCTGGGGACCATGGCCCTGTACCCTGGCTTGGCACAGACACAATGGCGCGTTCTGTCTAGCACACACTTGAGGACTTAGAGCCATGAGCCCCTGGCAGTTCTCTGAGGAGTGAAAGCTACGGGTCCTTCCTTTGTTCTTCCAGGCACCATGTAAGCCTCTTGGATCCTTGTAGCATCCTAAAGAGAGAGAGACCCTGAAAAATATGCCTGAAAGATATTTCTCATCACCTTTTTGAGTGGGGAAGTATGAATTCATTTTATTTAGGAAAATGAGATAATCTGGCTTTTCTTGTACCCTGGTGTAACAGTGTTGAATCCACACACTGTACACCTTCAAGCAGGGCTATTGTGAGCTCATTTGTGGGTCCGGGTGTCACTTCTTACTGAGTTTTCATGTTCTATACCTTTCCTGCGTCCCTCTCTACCCCAAAAGTCACTCATTCTGTATTTCATTTTCTCAAGTCTAATGAAAAGCTAATGATAACATAAAGCTAAACAGTCTATAATTATATTCAACTAAGTATTCAACTGAGTACAAAATCTTAAGGGTGAAGGAGTTTTCAAACTTGTTTTTGACAGCAAAAGCCCTTTTTCAAAGAGTAATTTCCATGTACTCAAATGTATAAAGCAGCCAACAGTAGAGCTCTTTGGTTGAAATGGAGTAGGAAACTGAATACACCCCTTTAATCTATGATGTGGCTCCGAAGTCCCTTTCCTCAGTAACCTTGAGTTCTTCTGATACCTACCATTTTAACTCCAAGTATAGGTAATGTGGGTGTCAGGGATGGAATGTTAGATGCATCACTGCAGGCCAGTGGGGAAGATTATTTTCTATAGAAGGGCCATTCGTTGTCCTACTGACAGCAAATGCCACTCAGAAGCCAGATGTGTCTTCAGGCTTGAGTGAGCATCCCACTGTAACACAGAGGGATTTTTATCCTGCATCAGTAGTTTATTCTCCTAGCAATGAAAATAATAAAGTTGTAAGATATTCATTGCCATTGAGAGCCAAGAAGTAGAAATGATCATTCAGTCATGCTCCATAGACACCCCATCTTCTCAGTCTTCATTTATTCATCCAACAGATATCTAATTTGCACCTATAATGTGTCAGTTCTATTCCAGACTCAGGGCACAGCAGTAAGAAAAACTGATAAAATGCCTTTCTTTAAGGAAATTACATTCTAGAAGGGAGAGAGAGACAATCAGTGAACAGAAATCTGTGAATTTAAATTCTGTAAGCTATAATAAAACAGGTGTTTTTAAGAAGACTGCAATTCTGGTGGTTTTGGGCATTAGCACTATTGGGAGTGATTAGTATAGTGCCTGCCCTACATTTAATAGATGTCTAGAACGACATGGAATGTCATCTCATCTGGATTCCATCCTCTGAAAGACAGACATTTGTTTTTCGTTTAGAGAGAAAAATAAAGACAATGTTGAAGTTTTACTCAAACCTAGTACCCTTAAACTGGCTGAGTATCAGCAAACTTACACTACTGCACATGTGCCTGGAATAGGGAAGTGGGTGTGGCATGGAGGATTGAGCATGGATCCTAGACCTTGGGATTTGGGGTGTTTTTCATCTTTTCCTAATTATGTGGCTTTGACTCATTTCAATGTTAATTTCCTTCATTTGTAAACTACCAAATAAAATATGTTTGTAGTACTTTATTAATTGAACAGTTTTATACAAGTAAAGTGGAAATTCTGAATACAGGTTAAGAAGAAATCAAACAGAAAGATTATACAAAAGTTATTACAGTTTTATAAAAGTAATGTTAAATATGGTAACTATGAACTTTCAAAGAAAGAAGAAGAATAAAGTAACAATTTATGATATCCTAAAACCAAGGACAGCCCGTAACTGTGAACTTTCAAAGAAAGAATAAGAATAAAGTAACAATTTATGACATCCTAAAACCGAGGACAGCCACACCTCCAGATGAGAAACCACACAAAAGAAGTCTGGTTCTGCGAAATCAGCAAGACAGGGGAAATCAATAATCAAAGCAATGCAAGCTGTGCTGTGTTTTAAATTTGATCCAGATTTGAGATGACCATATGCAAGAAATGGCTTTACTGGAATCAAATATATAGAGTCTTAAAGATAAAATCTAGAGGTTAGGAGCTATTGAATGTTGAGCTTTCAGCTCCATTTCCTGAGGAATCATTGGAGCCATAGGTGGGGAATGCAATAATTCTTGTAAAGCATTGCAGCTGCTAAAATGCAGACATATGGAATTTTTGCTCTCTCTGGTATAATACAGAAACAATCTCACAATAGGATAAACACCTCTTTCAAACTTTCTCTTTAGCCTAGGGAGAGGATATTGTACAGACTGGATGGGTAAAGTCTTAGTATTTTGGTTTTTCGTTTTAGATCTGGTTTCCTGGTATCCTTTAGAAGCCTGTATTTGTAGCTATAGGAGTGCACTCCTGTGCTGAATCTTCTGACACCATACTAAACATGTTGGATATTTTGACATTTGAAATCGATAGATGTAATTTGTACTGATACTGAAATTATGGAATATAATGGAAAATTGGGCTTTTGTTGTTGATATTGTGAAGATGTTACATGACGTAACATCATAAGAGGCCAAGTCAACTAATACTTAATGTTCAATGAGTTGAAATGTTGATTTCCTTAATGACACTGGGAAATAATTCATTAATTTTTTTTCTGCTTTATGGCAATATATTGTTCTATTCGAGATTTAGACATTTTTTCCATTGAATCAGGAACCTCCTGAGTGCTAGCCACTGGCTGGGTCCCAGGAACATGCGTGGGAAATACATATTTGAGAATCTTCTGAGCGCCAACCAATCTGCTGGGTCCCAGGAACATGATAGGAAGTATAACAGACATGGGCTTCATTGCCTGGAGATTTTCATCTTGTACTTTTCTCTATTTCTATGGCTGAATTAAAATGTTCCATATTTCTGGATTCCCTTTAACTAGTCAACAAGGTTCATCTTATCAAGGAATACATAGTGCAGGGAATGGTGGCAGTGACCGGGCAACTGACCACACAGCCAATACACACACACACACCCCACAAACATACACAAGCTTTGGTGGAAGGTGAGAGAGAAAGAAGGAGATTTTTGAAAGTTCTACTTAACTTCTTTTATCTGAAACAGAAGCTCATAAAAAAGTTATTTTTTTCCCAGCTAAATAGATAAAACATCATCATTGTAAGAACATTTGTAAAATATAGACTACAATACAGTTAAAAAAAAAAAAAAAAAAAAAAGTGACTTTAATGCTAATACTAAAGTTAATATACCTTTCCTCATGCCAAATTGTATTTTGTCTTCTAGGACCAATTGGTCTTTTCTCATCTAAAGTAGCTTGAACTTTGTCCTAGGACATTAAGCATTTTCTACCATATATTTTTTCAATGGCTGTAATATTGTTCCTTATTATGGTGGTATCAGAATTTATTTAATGAATCCCTTAATATTGCATAGTGGTTATTTCATAGTTTCCTCATTTTAAACAATGATGGTAGGAATATCATTAAGCGTAAAATACGTATTCATAATGATTTCCTTTTTATGAAGGCCGAGAAATGACTGCTGAGTCAAAGATTATGCACATTTAAGAGGCATTTGATGCACATTATTAAACTTTTTTATATTAAATACACTTTGTTGAGCTGATTTATCCTTTTATTAATAGTCTTCCTTAAAAATTTTCTTTTTGTCTTAAATTTATTGTCTCCTGTAATTTTTGAAGCAGTTGAATATTGATTGCATTTTAGAACAAAAAGAACAGCAAAATATTAAAGCAAAAACATAAAAAGGTAACTGTGTTAAGAAAAAAGAAATAAAAATATTGTTAGAGAATGCTGTTTCCCATTCCTTATGCCAAAATAGACTCTGACATTTTAACTGGCATTTTCATTAAGGCAAGTAAATATGTTTCAAATACAGGGCACCAGGTCTCTATGCTTATGTTCAAGCACACGTCCATTTACTGACTCTGTTTTACTGGAACTTTCTCTGTGGTACATAGAGTAGCTTTTTAGAAAGGTAGACTTTTTAAATGTTAGCTCAATTCGTAGCACTTTACTTTGAAATAATTTTTAATTATTTAGAAAAATGCTTCCATTTGGTATTCTCCCCACATAAATTGTGCAATTGATGAAGTGACCCTCTTGCTCTCTGAACATGGGTTCCTCATTCTGCAAGCCCACGGGTGAATTAGCCCCTGTTTTCCTCAGACAAGCAAGCACTCTTTGTGTTATTTCCGGGTAATTTATCAATTAATGTTCTAGGATGCCAAAGGAAAAATGGTGACAATAAAACTGAGGGAATTCGGAAACAAATCTGTTGAATAGCAAAAGAAGGCTTTCTGTTTATTTATCTCTTGTAATCTTAAAAGAAAAAAAAACTAATCTTATTCTGACATTATTCCTGCCCTTTTTTTTTTTTTTAGTGCTCTGTGGAGGGGGTGAGAGCTTTCTGTGTGCCACTGGAATCTGCATCCCCAGGAAACTGCAGTGTAATGGCTACAATGACTGTGACGACTGGAGTGACGAGGCTCATTGCAGTATGTGACAAGCTGTTCGGGGTTTGTCTGAGTGGACAGGAATTCTATTCAGGGGCCTAGAAACCAAAACTATTACATTGTCAAATCCCGACAATCATTGGCGTTTGCTAGACTGCTTTTGGTTTGCCTTTCTAAAGTGAGCAACGTGTTTATCTTCCTCCAGAGTGACAGAAGCATGTTTGCACACCTTTCAAAGGCATGGTTTATAAGGAACTCAACAGCTTAATGCTGCATTGGAACAGAACAGGGATTGCAGTGTTTTTGCACAAAGCCGCTTAAAATTGGAAGGCTTTGGTTTATTTTGATTGGGTGAGAATTTTCCTTTTTGTTTATGAGTGTAAAAGTCAGTGTTTTTTGAAATGGACATTTTTATAGCAACATTTTCACTCTAATGATTCTTAACATTCATGACACAGCGAATACAAAGCCTCTTTTTTTTTTTTTTTTTTTTTGCTTCCTCCAAACCTGGAGATAATCAATGGCACAATTGTTTAAAATCCACTAATCAGAAGATTCAGCCTTATGTGCCCTCAATTTCTTCCCCATTGATTTGATTAGTCATTTTGACTGAATTGGCCAGTGGTTTGTTCATATAGATTCAGGTTTCAAGTTGTTTTGCACTTACAAACTGGAAAGAATGGGAAAGCCATCCTGAGGAAGTACTTTATAATAAAGCCAGCGTATTATTTGTTGACCCCTAGTATGTTAAAAAAAACAATAATTACATTGTGTAATCTGACAGAACTATATGCAATTAGAACACTACATGCAAGTGTTTTAATGGTTTTTTATGGGTATATAAACAGCCACAGCTAGTATGGCAAGAGCTGTACTTCACCCCTTATGGGAACTGCCAAGATGTTACAAGTGCTTGAGAATACTGATCAGAATCGAAAGATTCTTCTGGTCTGTTTGCCAAATGGACCAACTCATCTTTCATCTGATGAATTAGGATGTTCCTTTGTCCTGCTGAATGGCAGAACTACTGAATGGCAGTTTATCATGGTAACATTTCAGGTCAGTGTTTCCCAAACTGGTGTTTCATATAGTACCTGAGTCTGGAATAATGCTTGAAAAAAACTAACTTTGGGAAATACTCTCTATCAGATCTACTTCTTAGAGGGTTAGAATACACATTTGTATATTAGAGGTTCTGAGAAATCCTGGAGTTTTAAAAAAGGACATTTGCTTAACTTTGGATTTCCTCAGAATTATTTTCTCATGTGAATCTTCACCTTCATTTATTCATGCATTTTTTATTCTGCCTAATATCTAGCATCCCGTGGAACTTTAGTTATGCCACACATATTTCAGGAAACATTCTTTTTAGTAAGACATTTGTGTTTTACAACTTGGAATTTTCTTTTCAAAACAACCTATGGCCCACAATTTTACATAAAAACACATTTTATAGGCTGTGTATTTACACTGGGAAGTGTTATTGTGAGCTTGGCAGAAGATACTGTGCAAAGCAGCCAAAATAGGGAACTTTAAATAGTTCAACGTAATTACATCCAATTTATGGGAATTGTGGTAGAATCTCTAGGTTTTCTCTCATTGTGGCCCACGTTATAGCATTGTCCAAATTCTGCATGTTCCTGTAACTTCTTTGGTGTCCAAACATGGTTTTATTATATGTTCCTCAATTGTACTGCGCATTGAACTCTGAACCCTGTAAGTGCTTTCTGCTGCATTTGTTAAAATTAAATTTGAAGGGGTTAGTTTTCCTAGTCAACAACCGAACAAGAAGCTGTTACTATTCTGCAAGGTCTGAGGAGCTGAAGCATTTATTAAGGAAAATAGATAAGGACTTTTCCCATGAATATACCACAAAAATGATCTGGTTGGTCCATTGAAGAAATATATCCCTTCAGAAAACTTCTGTATGAAAACACAGACATTGAAGGCTTCATATGCAATTGTTTTTGACCTGACAAGGACATCTGCTTTTGAGCTTTAATGTTCAGTGCTTGTGGCATTTCAGCATGAGTGTTTATGGAGGGTGCCACACTCTTGATGTCACCACCCTGTGGTGAAGGAATAGTATAAGTCTGAATTAGGGCTTGGGTGTGAATCAGAGTGTAAATGCAGTCCACAGATACCCAGGAGAAGGAAGTTTTGCTGTGCATTCTCAGTGAGGAGCAGAAGAAAATACCTAGTTCCTAAGGTTCTGGCAGGAAGGCAAGGAGAACTGCCAGAGGAGATTGTGCTTCTGTGGATTAGATGCAAAAATGATCTCTAGATAAGCACTTGCCTGCTTTTATAAAACATGGGTCATATTAGGTGACCTGGGTAGTTTGTTGAGTTGTTAATTTCCTTTTCAGTCAGATTCAAAGGAAGGGAGAGAAGCGACTTATAATTTGTGAATTACCTAATCAATTATGCTAGAAGCATTTACCTACATGCTTTGATTTAATTACCAGCACAGGAAGTATTATCTACCTGCTTTTATACAGGTGCAGAGACGGGGCTTATGGTAATGAATAAATTTGCCCATGATTTACTAAATTTGAACCCAGTCTTAAGTGGTACCAAATCTAATGCTGTTTTCTGTCAGCTGGGCTGCCTTTGACTTGTCCTTGTCCTTGTCCATAAAGTATTTCAGATTTAGTGAGATTATACTCTGATGGTTCATATTGCAGGAAAATATTTTGACTGTTTTTGCTGTATTATGGCTTTCAGAGCACTCCAGGTATCTGTGATTACTTACTGACTTTCTCCCTTAACCGGTTTTGTCTTATTTGTCAATTTCTTCTTATTTGTTGGATGAAAAGATTTCCAAATACCTGAAACAGTTTTATGGTGTAGTAGAAAAATTTTCAAAAATCAGGAAAACTTTAGAAATGTCTACCTCTGTGACTTTAGGCAGACCACTTCAGTAACCCTGGCCTCCCCAGGAAGCCCCACCTGTGGAGATTTTGATTCAGTTGGTGTGCGGTGGGGACCAGGCAGCAGTAGTTTTGTAAAGCTCCCCAGGTAATTCTAAGGGACAGCCAGACTTGGAAGCACCAGGCTAGAAGGCGACTGGTGTCTCTTTTGTTGTTGAGGGTCTATAATCTTTTGAGCCTATAACCAGCTCCTAGAACAGTACCTGGGACATAGTCAGTGCTTAGCAAATGAATATATCTTAATTTGAAAAACAAATTAGCAACTCAAGGAAAACGTTGTCATAGTGAAATAGCTGCCACAAAGTTCACACATTTTATGACACGTAAAACCACCATCAAATACTTTTGGAAATCATTTGCTCTGAATTTTGGGTAAAATTGGTTGACTTATTTTTGAGGCTGGTGATTATCTAATTATATGCCGAGTGTAGCACAGTGTAGTCATGACCACTAAAAGTTCTTGAGTCGGGCTCCTTAGGTTTTGTTCTTACCATTTCGTGCCTCTAATAACTTAGGCAAGTTACTCAACCTCTCTGTGCCTCAGTTTCTTCAGTAGTACAATGGAAACAACAAATAGTGAAATCTCTCAAATTGTTCACAATAATGACTCACTGAATATAAAGCATGTAGACCGATGTCTGGCATGCAGTAAGTCTCAAAGAGCGCTAGGATTTGTGTTCGTGACTGTTGTTGTCACTGTTGTCATCTTGCTGTTCCTTCTCTACCCAGCACCTCGTTACTAGGTGCAGAGAATGATCACTGGAAGTCATGGGGACAGCTGATAAATGTTAGCTGATACATGTAAGGGAGACAGAAACACTGAAATATGCATAACAGTTTTAAAAGCAGCACCATGTGAAGCTATTTGAGAATGGAGGCAGCCTAAACAGCACAATTGATTTTCCAAATGATGTTTGAGTCATCAGAAATGACTGTATCCACAATAATCTTTCTACCAAGATGTGGCTGCAAGTAAATGCTAGAAATATTTTCATCAAAATTATAAAAATAAAAAAAAAACTCACTCTACGCTAATGGAAGTAGTATTATATGTTTGCAAACTTTCCTTTTTGTACAGTGGCAATCTGATTATACTGAATCAATCTACTGAATATTCTTGAATTCCTACCTTGTGTGAATCATGTTCTAGATAATTAGTAAATAGAAAGATACTGTTAAGACATGGTTTCTTTCTTTACGAGGCTTTAAGTCTAATTGGGGAACTAACATATAAACATAGAAACCATTAAATATGTTTTTTTATTTTGAGATGGAATCTGGCTCTGTCGCCCAGGCTGGAGTGCAGTGGTGCGATCTCAGCTCACTGCAGCCTCCACTACCTGAGCTGAAGCCATTCTCCAGCCTCAGCCTACTGAGTAACTGGGGCTACAGGTGTAAGCCACCATGGCAGGCCTAATTTTTGTATTTTATATAAAAAAACAGGGTTTTGCCATGTTGACCAGGCTGATCTCGAACTCCTGAGCTCAAAGTGCTCTGCCTGTCTTGGCCTCACAAAGTGCTGGGATTATAGGTGTGGGCCACTGTGCCCGGCCTAAATATAGTATTTTAAAACAATATAAAACAAGCAATATCACAAAGTAAAAAAAAAAAATGTATGTAAACAATAAAAAAAAGGTAGCAGCAACGAGTCCTTTTAGTAAAAAGAGTAGGATTACTAGAAGCTGGATTGTGTAGAGAGCTGATGGAAAAGATGGGATTAAAGCTAGGCCTTACACTCAGGTGATGTTTGTATACTGTGCGACATGGTTTTCAATTCTCTAGGTGACATTTTGCAATGCATGGAGACTTTTTTTATTGTCACAACTGTGGGGTGGAGGAAGGTACTACTAGCATCTAGTGGGTAGAGGCTAGAGATGCTGCCAAACAAACTACGCTGCCCAGGGCAGCCCCCAACAACAAAGAATTACCCCTTCCGAAAGGTCAGTAATACTGCAGTTGAGAAACCCTTTTCTAGAGCTAGAAGTCAATAGGAGAAAGAACTCAGAGAGTCAAAATCCTGGTTCTTCTCATGGTTCTGCTGTTAATTAGCTGAGCAACCATGGACAGACCATATAACTCCTCTGGTCATCTCAGAATGAGAGGGTTGGATGA